GTCAGTCAGTGGCAGTACTGTGAAAAACAAATGAAGGGACTAACGTGGATGATAAAGTCGTCTTAATGTTTTTCAGCAAAAATGCTAGTACTAGCCTTGCCTGGTGTACATGCTGTGGCATTGCTTTTCGCTCCCCCTGCTGTAGAAAGAACGGAAACATGGCTTGATTGTTGCTGGCATACCAAGACTGTGCTGCATTCTGATACCCCTGTGGCAGCCATTGTGCACCTTGGAACACTGGTATCAATGGATGTGTCATAATTGCTCTTTTCTGTAAAAGTCTTGCCGACTAGCACTTTGAAATCTGAAAGCCAATCATTTTGCTTTTTGTTAAGTTCTAAAAGTGGTTTGCTGACCATCACTAAAAATTGTGAATTACATTTTTACACCAGCAGGATATACTTACTACGCCACATCACTTTCCCGGTCATCCCAAAATGTATTGTGCCCACTACTACTGGTACACAGCAGGGCTGAGCATTTTTACATAGGTCACATGATCTCCCACAAGACTATGTGGCTCTAGAGAAAGCATGGTGGCTTAAAGCAAAACTGGAATCAAGACGTTCCATTGCAAAAAAAATCATTGTTACAGGTAGGGTCTCTCACTATTGGTGCAGTAACATTTGTAGTTTGCCTGTTCATGCTCTGTATTCCAAATCCCTGCAGTATGTGGTTTCTCACTTTTCAGATACTGGCACCAGGGCTCTAGCTACCATGGGTCGTCAGGCCCTTGCCTCAGACGCAGCTAAGAGGGGCGTAGCCATGGCCGGCCTGGCTGCGCCCCCTCGCCCCTCTGGCCATGGCGAGCACAGGGCGCTATTGGCAACAGGGGCGCCAACACAGCCGCGGCTCGGCAGGGAGAAGAGGAACGGCACAGGCTCCAGCTTCTACCCGGATACCCGCTGCTCTCCCCCGCCTTTATGGGCAGAGGACTTTTGTGTCCTCAATCTCTATTTTTCTATTTCAAAAGGGAAATGTCACGGGTCTGTTTAGACCCCTAATATTTCCCCAAAGCCCCCAACATTAAAAAAATATTAAAGAAACAAAAACACCTCCCACACACACTCATGCACACTATTATTAGACATGTGCAAAGACTAAATTAATGGAAACTAAAATGTTTTCATTAGTTTCATCAAACACATTTTTATGCTATTTTGGATTTGACCACCAGAGCATGCGCGCCGCCATCCTGGAGGCGGGGCGCATGACATCACATTATGCGTGCGCGGCGTCGGGTGACATAACACGTCTGTTGGGGGGGGGGCACAATTTTCTGTTCTTGCCTCGGGCGCAAAAGTAGCTAGCTACGGCTCAGACTGGCACCATGTTGGTTGTGTGCTGCAGCTCTTCTGCAGGAATCTGACCACTGATTTCCTGTCCATGCATAATTAATTTCAAGGAATGCTCCCAGCTTGGAAGTCTTTTAAGTCTTGGAGAGTTCAGGAGAGAAGACTCATGGGACTGTTATTTAATGAAAATGGAGTGACCTGACTAGCATTGTGGACTCCATGTAGAACTCCAGCTGCATATTTCACTGGACTGGTGTTCTAGAGATTTACCTGGGACACAAAGGCTGTAAGTAGGTGAATGAAGCGGTGCTTTTGGTGGAATTTGTATTTTAAAGTTAAAGAAGAACTCCAGGCAAGCATAAAACGGACCCTTGCGCTAGTTATGTCTAAGGTACAGAGCTGTGTCACTTACCTGACAAACAGATGGTGGTAATGGTTGAAATAATTTTTGTTCATTCTAGAATGATTTAGTGTATCTGAAAGTTCTTGAAGAACTCTGGGCATCATTATTCCTAACCCTTGCAGTGGGGCTACCACCGCGCTGCAAGGGTCAAGTGCTTGTTTTCCTCCCAGCCGCCTGTCTCTTAATCTGCTCCAGACCTGTACAGTGATTCACAGGACCTTGGGCCACTGGAGTTGGAGGGGAAGCGAGGTGTTAGGAAGTGACTAAACAGCCAGCCAGTCAGCTGCAAGGTTCAGGTGAGTCTAACTTTTGTTATTGTCATCCCTAGACAAAACAAGCACTTAACTCTTGCAATGCGGAAGGTAGCCCCCTCTGCAAGGGTTAAGAATAATTTTGCCTGAAGTTCTTCTTTAACCACTATTAAAAGTTCTGCTTAAGAGGAGACACCCCGAGTTGCCTGCAATTACCTTTTGTTAGCTAGAAAAGCCTCTGTACTTCATTGTCATCCTGGTTTTACATTAACAAGGGACTGACTTTCCAAACTCTGAGGCTAAGCCCTTCTTCCTGCTAGAGCTAAGCCCAACCGCCCCCTGTCCTGTCGGAGCACTCTTTATTAGCCTTTGAAGGCAGAAAGACCGTAGGTGAGGGAGGATAGTGATTATAAGGTGCATGCTCTTAGGGAGACTTTTGCTTTTAAAGTGACACTAAACTCAGGAGTTAAATCTTAAAGATGCATTCAAGTACCTTAACTATTAACAAGAATGTACCTTATTTGTGTATCACTCGGCTGTAGATCCTCAAATCATCTCTGAATTGGTGCTGACACTGTCCTTCCTTCTGGAGGGTGGCTACTTTTGTTCCCCATGGTCTCTGTGTGTGTTGTAAAGTAGTCACCCCTCCAAGCTCACTCCCCGTGATGGACTACAATCTCATGTTTAGTTTACTAATTTGTATTGAGATTGTAATCCATCATTGAAGTGAGCTTGGAGCAGTGGCTACTTTACAACACATACAGGGACCATGGGGAACAAAAGTAGCCACCCTCCAGAAGGAAGGACAGTGTCGGCATCAATTCAGAGATGATTTGAGGATCTACGGCTGAGTGATACACAAATAAGGTCCAGTATTAATAGTTAGGGTTCTTAATGCATTTTTAAGGTTTAACTCCTAATTTCAGTGTTACTTTGAACTCTCTTTGGCAAAGTAGACATCCAAATTGTAATTTTTTTTCTGCCAGAAATGTTAACCACTCACCCCTGCCAGACAGCATAACAGGGTCTGGACCTCCTCCCGCATTATAGTGCAGCTAAGCAATACAGCCCGGTCTATAACCTATCCCAGCCTGTGACAAGAAAATGAAAGAACAGCAGCACACTGATAGGGTTATTCCTCTGCTTTCCTATCCTGTATGTTCCCTTAATTCAAAAACCAACACAGTGCAACAAACAATAGATCCTGATTGTTTCAGAGTGCTTCATCTACCATTCACAACTTGAATGCTGCTATGAAGGGGATTATGGGGGCTGATCTCAATACAGATTCAGTCAATTATACCACCTTAGGCATTTGTCACTGGAACAAGTCTACCCCTTGGAGGATTTCCCTTCTACTCCTGTGAGAGCCATAAAATCCTCCTCACTTTCACTTCTGGGGGCTTTTCTCCCCAGAACTAATAGTGAGATTAGATCTCCCAATGGGGACACGGACATCAATAAAAACGTGACGGGTTTTAAACACCTAAAGTCGCAGGTGTCAGACAACGATCATCCCAGTTCCTGGGCTCCCGTGAAACCCCTGCCGAAATTACAGTGTATGACTCATCAAACATCCCAAGTTGAACATTAAACTGCACCTTTTTCAGATGGTAAATACAGGAGCTTGCAATGTTTCTTTTGGATGAACTCCAGAAAGCTTGTGTATTTTGTTCCACAGGTAACAATACTATCTGTATCTGCTGCACAATTGTAAAAAAAATTGTGCCAGTAGGCTGAGGGACTGAAAGTATACTTATTAATAGATGAGATGCAAAACATTTATTGTATCCATTGAAGGATAAGTGCACTTTAAAACACTTAATCAATGCTTTTTGCTCCCTTTCCCCAACCTAACCCAAAAAACAACCCTCCCCTGCCATTGATGCTTACTTGCCTCAATTCAAGGGCAGCGGTTCTGCTGCCTGTTTACATTCAGTGGTCCAAGCCCTCATTGTCCTGTGCATTAGTGCCCCATAGACTTCTACGGAGCTGTGTCTTGAGGCTGGAGATGATCAGAAACCTACAAGTTCCATACATGTCTATGGGGCTGTAATGCGCAGGCACGGCCAGGGCAGTAGAGATGTAAAAAAACATCGGAACCATGGCCGTCAGATACATGGTGGGGGGTTGAGTTACGTCAGGTCAGAGTAAGGGGGGCATAAAAGATAAGACTTATTTTTTAAAGCCCAAATGATAAAATAGCACAGGGTATAGACCAGCCTTTCTGAGTCAGGATGCTGTGGCACTCTGTTGTATCTTTTGGCTTTCTCAGGATATCATCTGGACAAGAGGACACAGATACCGTGTTTCCTTGAAAATAAGACCTAGTACTATTTTGGGGAATTGCTAAAATATAAGACCTACCCCGAAAATTAGACCTAGTTGTGACCATTCCCAGGGCCGGTGGTGGCATTAGGGGGAACTTGAAGAGAGGCGAGAGAGAATCAGCAGTGCCAACAAAGCCAGCGCTAGAGGAAGCAAGGCGGCACTGGGGGAAGCCGATGCCTTCTCTATAGCGCCGGCTCCTGTCACAGGCGGAGTGGTGCCAAATGCTCTCCGCCTGTGAGGAATCAATAGTGAAATCGTGCTTTGCTCATTCTGGCCAGCGACTGTTGTACATGAATAAGTATGGATTGCTCTACATTAAAAAAAAAAAAGACCTACCCCAAAATAAGTGTGGTGTTTTTTGAGCCAAAAAAAATATAATACGGTGTCTAATTTTCGGGGAAACACGGTATCCATAAAAAACATAGCCAGTTTTGACCTTTCCTCATTTTATTTAAAATTACCAACATTTTTTTGTCTGTATTCCCGGGGTTGGAGAACACACCAAAAACCTGATGTAGGCTCTAGCCTTTTGTGCTGTGTCCAAAACTAAGGGCTGGAGTTGAGCTTTAAAGTATAATTAAACTCTTTTTTTGCATAGATCTACTGCTTGCTAGCTAAAAAAAAAGTTACCAAAAATGGTTTTACTTACCTATGTCCATCGCTCACTCCCGCCTGAAAATCTGAAGATTCTCGAGCAGCCATGAAGGATGATGGGGCATGCGCAGTAGAGATCTTTGGCGAGGAGAAGATGAGAGACAGTGTTAGTCATTGCACTCAGCTGGCAGCGTGCACGTGGACAGACTCCGTGGGACAGGAAGAGGTACTCCTAAAAACTACTGGAAAGAAGATGATTAGATCAAGAGGCATCATTAAATGTAAATCCTTAAAGGAGAACTATGAAGCGAGTGAAAATCACTGTTTCATAGTTCTAGCCGACCTTTGACAATGAAACTGTCACACGTCGGCTCAATAGATCGGGAAGTGAGCGAACACATACCGTCGCTCGCTCTCTTCTCGATCATCTCCCTGCAGAGAGCTTTGACTGTCACGGCTCCCTGCAGGGATTCCACCCCTCCCCGGTCCGATCCTCCAGAGCTGACTGGCGGAACGAACGGGGGAGGGGACGGGTACAGCTGGCTCTAGATAGGCAGAGCCAGATGTCAATCACGCAGCTGGGTGGATCTCGACAGTGATGTCGGGATCCGTCCCGGCGTCTCAGTATACAGCGAGCTGTAGCTCGCGGTATACTAAGCTTTGAGTGACGGGAGGACGCTAGTTTGTGTCCTCCCGTTACCCTTAGGAAAACTATGGGGAAAAGCCCTAACCCCATAGTTCTCCTTTAGCAGCATGGGGGGGAGAAAAATATTTGTGATTGACGGAATAAATGTCAGTTAAAGTACCGCAGCGCTGAATACTGAAAAATGGCCTGGATGGGAAGGGGGTTTAACACCGCGGATGTCAACTGGTTAATGTCACTTTAAATGTTGTCATCGGCTTCTTTGTTCTTCTTGTAAACCTTATCATTGCCAGTCAAAGGAATAGGGGGTGCTGGGTTTCTACTTTGTGTAGGGCTTCATTCTGCCGTAATTCATCTGTGGGCTTAAGTCTCCAGACCAAGTAGGTGCATTAGGGAGTAGGTGTCAGAGAGGTCAAGCTTATCAGCCAGGCAATTGCCATTTTCGGGGGAGATAAGGAATGGCAACCTCATGGTTTTGTTGTCTTTTTCTTTTTTTATAAATTTCTTTGAAATAGTTTTTTAGTATCCAGCTAGCACCAGCTGAATTCAACATTGCAGCAATATCTGAATGATATCCAGAGAATTTGGGGTTATTATGTTACCGGTTCCTCAGATCTCAGAGGTCTCTGCCTTTCTACAGTTTAATGATCTGGTTTCTTGCTTTATAAGACTAGAGAAGGCAGATCATTGCTCAGTGCTTCATCATGCCTCTTTTAGTTAAATCTGCATAGACATGCGCATGTTCTCAGCTTGAGATCGAAATAGGCCTAGGTTTCTCCATTTCCTGCTTCTCTTTTACATTTTGGTGATGGGCTCATGCCACCTTTTCCTCTTCTCTTTGCACTGTGGTAGTTATTTAGTGAATAACCGAAAGCGATGGTCTCATTGATTAACATTCGAAGAGGGCAGAGGTAAGGCCCTCAGAGTATCCAAAGCTATCTTTTTATTGGAAAGACAATGATGACAGAGCGTCATGGAAATAAAAGGTTTTCTTTGTTGAGGATGTTTTATGTAAACATGTTCCAAATATTGTTCCTTCTGGTTCATTTGCTTCTGAAAAAGATTGCAAGTCTCTTCTTGAAAGTCATCTCCATGGTGTTATGTTTCTCCTCTTTGGTGGTAAGCGGTCTCTGTATGACCAAACGGCAATGAAGAAAACTGACTGCAGACAAATCAGAAAAAAACAATCTGTAGTTGGAAAACGGTTCTCTAAATGTAACACAGGAAGGGGGGGTATGGCGGGCATATGAGCTAATCTCTTAAACCCAATACCCAGAATATTCCTTGTGTGCCCGCCCCAATAAGACTTGTGCAGAGCATCTTTGGTCATTTTTTGGGGCGTTCTATTGAACATTTTTATGCACCTTTTCAGGCTGGAGCTTTTTTTAATTTTTTTTTATTTATTATTATTTCTGACCAATGAAAAAGCTAGTTACTAGACAAGAAAACTTATGAACAATGTGTGCATTTTTCAGGCGCTATCCAAGGCCAAAATGGTCGGCTCTGCTCCAAAAGAAGCATGCATACTTTTTTGACAGAACACTCTGGGCCGATTCATACTAGCAACTGCGCTATAGAGGTCTTGCTGACTCCCAATGATCATTAAGGGCCCATTCACACTGGAGCATTGCGCTAATTGCACGTTACCATTGTGAATGGGCATGTTGTGTTTAGTGTATATTATTATACAACGCACCTAGTTTGCGGTACCGTGTGCTAGGAGCGTTGCCGTTCATTTGACAGTCCCAAACATGTAATATGGGAAGGTGTGGTATCCTATTAGAATTGGTTTCTGCTTTATAATAATATAGGTTGGGGATCATTCATTGGGGAACATTTATTAATGCAGTTGTGTCTGAAATCAGCAGTTCACATGTGCATTTTGGCTGCAAGCAAGCCCAAAGATTATTGCTGGCATATCTGCATGCAAAGTGACAGCGGCAATTTTGCTTGATCTTGCAGCCAAATGGCATCTATTCTGATTCTCTATCGTGCCGCAGTCGCGTGTAAGCAGCAAATAACTCGTCACGTACAGTGTACGTGACAAGTCATTTGGTCCCTTTGTGGCTGGACGTACAGTGTACGTCTCCCATCACGAAGGGGTTAATGGTGAAATTCATCCTCAGAACTTAGAAGTGCCAAGGAGCACATTTTAAACATGCGCAGATGTGTTCGTTTTTGCAGCGGCTAATTTATTACGCCAAATTCATACAAATAATAATCAATACATCTCTAAATTGCATTTAAATAAGTAGATGAATTTAAAGTTTAAACAGTTTTCATAAATGTCCCCCATTGAAAGAAAACTGATCTTCCTGCTCGGTTTTTTCCCCCCACTGGCCGCTTTTAGAAATGTCCTAATGAAATTAATCTTTTTGCCCCTAGCAGCCAATCAGATTCTGACTTTCAATTCTAATCAGACCTTCAGACGCCAGGTGGGATGCTGTCACTAGGGGCAACGGCCTCAATTCTCTTCTAAAGAATAATGAAGCCCATCTCAGAGCAAAGCCGATTTTTATATTTCCTCTGGTAGTCTGCCTTATGTAACAACATGCTGTGGTCTTGTTTTCGCAGTGGATGTACATAATCCCTGTTGTACTATTTTTGATGATGTCTGGGGCGTCGGATGCTGGCAACCAAGGAGGAAACGGCGGAGGTGGTGGCAACGGCGGTGGAAGGTGATTGGCTGTACCGGGAATCCAACTACTCCATCTCAAACTGAACACAGGAAAATAAAAACTGCCGCACAGCACTGGTTACTTACTACAATGCTGCAAATACATTTGGACTGAAAGATCCTGATGTAGCAGGATAACCGCGTATTTTGGTTCTGTTCTTTTTTGTTTTGTTTTTTCATTTTCCCTTTTGAACAATTTCAGTCAAATGCAGATGTACCATAGAACTGATTTTATTTTAATTTATTATGTTGTAAACCTGTAAGGATTGAAAAATGAAGATAATTGTTGGTTGGATTAATAAGTGTCTCTTTTCCTATATGTTTTATTTTACCAATCCACTATTACAGCTACATTAGGCAATAACAAATGACATGAGAGGACTTACAGATTAATACCAGTGATGGCAAGAAATTCAGGATTACATCTTCGGGCATTAACATGGCTGTAAACTGCATGACGCTGATCGAGTGATATGGCCATGGATCTGCCCCTTCTGTGGCTTGTAGCTGTGTTCTGTCCAGAGGTTTGTATATCTTTTAGGACAAGGAAATGGAAGAATGCGGTGGAAAGTTTTTAGTTGTTAAACAAAGCTGGAAGGGGGTGCAGGGAGGTGGTGGGGACGGGTTTTAATGTCCTAAAGGAGAAGGCGTGGGCCTTTTCTCTCCCGTTCATTGAAGGACACAGGGAACAGATCGGAGATCATGTACTGTAGGGTAATATCGCCACCTGCAGGAGAAGGACGCTAGGCACAAAAAAAAACTAAAGACCAATTACAGCCTAGGGGTGGCCCCTGCCGGTGGCCAAACCCCCCACCTGCTGACAAGTCTCCAGTTTTTTGCCTAGCGTCAGGAGTAAGGAGCTAATAATTTTTTCTCGGTATTCTTACCTGCTTCTTCCTGATTTTTTCAGAGGAATCTTCTAGCAAGTGTTGTCCGGGCGACAGGCTGGATGTCTAGGATCCTTGGAGTCTCCCCTGGATGACCAGCGAGCGTATGCAGGCCCGCTGCGGTGGGTCGGCTACGACGGCCCCGCTCCGGCGGGGTGGCCTGTGGGTTCGTCCCAGGGGGGTGCATATGACTGGGGGTCTCGGCCGCCCAGTCACAGCACTTCCCTCAGGCTGCTGGCGCCGCG